CTGTGGGAATTGCACAACATGGGTGCACTGACCTACATGCAGGCAATACATGCATACACATAAAATAAAAATAATAAAATACTTTTTTGAAAAAGACTCCAAAGAAAAGTAGCCAGTTTCTTGTCTAAAACTCACAATGTCCTTGGGCCTTTTAGCAACATACTCTGTTCCAAAGGCCAAAAATGTCTAAAGTATTTGGGAACTTTTATCTAATCCTTAAAAGATTTTAGGGTTATTGCTTCAGAGGAGGGAATGTTAGAGTAGCCAAAAGGCCCATAAAAATAATAAATCAAAGAAGAAAGAGTACATGAAGTTATCAGAAAAAAGTGATGGGGAGATATGCGAGGAGTTGGAGGGGAGGGAGTGGAGATGGACTTGATCAAAACACCTTATATGAATGTATGAAATTCTCAATAAACTATTTAAAAAAAAAGAGTGTGAACTTTATTCTCTATGCAACACAGGGTTATATAAAGGTTTTAGGTTGGGGACCAGAATGATTCTGTTTTTAAATCTGCAGAAAATGGATTAAAAGAGGCTATGGTGAACCAGGGAGATGAGTCAGGAAGAGACTCCACTGGGCCAGGAAAGGACAGGATGGTGACTTAGGGAGGTTGTGGTGGAGGTGGAGAGGGGATAGTATGAACTCCCAGGACTTGCTGATGAAGTGAATGTGAGGGAGATGGCAATATTGGCTCTTATATTTCTGGCTTTAAGGTAAATGGCCTTCTTAAGATGACAAAGACTTGAGGAAAGCCAACCTTGAAAGAGACTGGAAGGAGGGGCAAGAGCAAGCTTGGAATGATGGGTTGGAATCAGGCTTAAAGAGTTCATGTTAAGAGTAACATGGCAAAAGATTTCAAAAGGAAGAAGTAAAATAAGCACTTGGATATATGAACACAGTGCTCAGAGGGGCTGAGGCTAGAAAAAGTACAGTCTATTCCTGGAACTTAAAGGTTAATAACCCAGAAAGCTATTGTAGAGACAGAAAAAGGGAATGCAAAAAGGGAATGTTGGAGATATTCCAACATTTCTAAATTATCTAGAAAATTAAAGGCGTCTGAAAAAGAGCAACGATTAAGGTAAGAGAAAATCAAGACAGTGTGGTATAGAAGTCAAAAGGAAGAAAAAGGGGGTGGGCAACTCTTTAAAGGCTGCTGAAATGGAGAGATGGCTCACTTGCTGCTTTTGGAAGGACCTTACATGGGAAGAACCCATCTAAGGTGGCTCACAACTGCCTATAACTCCAGCGTCAGGGAATCTGATGTCCTTTTCTGGCCTCTGTGGTCACACACACACACACACCCCTACACAATGCACATAAATAAAAAAAAACCTTAAATGAAACTTAAAAAATTTTTATTTTGTAAAGACATTTCATTATTTATATTTTTATATGCATGAGTGTATTGCCTGCATGTAAGGGCACTTCTGTTGTGTAATGTCCGTGGAGGTCAGAACAGATTCTTGGATTCCCCTGGAATTGAAGTTATGGACAGTTGTTAGTCACCATCTAGGTGCTGGGAATTAAACCCAGGTCCTCTGCAAAAGCAGCCAGTTCTCTTAACCACTGAGCTATTTATCCAGGATTCATTTCTTTAAAATGAAATTTTAAAGGCTAAGATGAAGAAAGAACAATGTCTGAATTATATTTGGAAAAATGGAGGTCCTTTGACTGAGTGTGGTGGCACACGCCTTTAACCCCAGCAGCTGGGAGGAGGAAGCAGGTGAGTCTCTGAGTTCAAAGCCAGCCTAGTCTACATAGCAAGTTCCAGGCCAGCCAGGGCCACACAATGAGAAAAAAAAAACAAAAATTAATAATAATGGAAGTTCTTCTTGACTTCTATAAATGAGAGTTTAGAAGGGTGATTTGAGCCAAAGCCAGACTGGGTTAGAAGTCTGAAGGGTAAAAAATACTATAAGCATTTCTCAGAACGTCCTGTAACTGTGGTGAGGTACCTGTCCTCTTGATCAAGGAG